ATGTATGGACTTTTAAATTAAATATTTTATTACGTATATTGATATAATTACATGAGGTGTTACAAATTTAATATATCTAAGAACACTATGGGTAGCTTGTAGATGAACATCCGTAGGGCTAGCCATGAACTGACTAAGCTGCCGGGTTGCAAAACTTAACTAATTAAGGCCAAGAGGTAGTCAGGTATTGTAATCTGCCAATGAGTTTTCTATCAGCTTGAGGATTATCTAGAGGCTATCTTTTAGTTTTTGAAAGCTTCAAATGAGGATCCATTGGGAAGGATACAAGCTTACAAGCTAGATAGTCAATATCTTTAAGCAACTCAAGAGCAAGCTTCCTTTGGCAAAGAAAAATTCCTTCTCTAGAGCGGGCTAACTCTAAACCAAGGAAGTATCAAAGTCCATCAAGGTCTTTTATTGTAAAAGCATCATCTAGCTTCTTTTTAACAAAATTCATTTTGATCATATAATTTCCAGCAAGGACCACATCATCAACATAGGCAAAGATCATAGTAAAGGAATTAGAAGATGCTTTGTAAAATAAAGAATGATTAGAAGGGGACTATGAAAATCCATAGGAAATCAAGGCAGTAGATAGCTTGGAATATCATTGACAACTTGCTTGCTTTAGTCCATAGAGGGACTTTTGCAATTTACAAACCATGTTGGGCTTAGAAGGTATGAAACCCTTAGGTAGTTCCATATATACTTCTTCATGAAAATCACCATGAAGAAAAGCATTATTTACATTAAGTTGATGTAAGGACCATTTTTTTGGCAGCAACTATAGACAGCAATAAATGCAGTGTAGTCATCTTGGCAACAGTACTAAAAGTATCAAAGTAATCAACACCTTATGTTTAGGTGTAGCCCTTTGCTACTAGATAGGTTTTGTACCTTTCTATTTCACCATTCACCTTGAATTTAGTCTTATACACCCATTTATGGCCAATAGTTTTCTTACCAGGTGGTAATGTAGTGAGAACCCAGGTTTGATTCTGCCCTCAAGTGCACAGATTTCTATATTCATAGCATCCTTCCTGTGTGAATGTGTAATAGCTTGCATGTGTATTTTAGGATCAAGGACAGAAGTAATATTCAAGACAAAGTTTTTATAACTATAAGAAAGAGATGAATAAGATAGAACAGATGAAAGAGGATACCTACAAGCTCTAGGATCAGATTTGGACCTATCATGTTATAAAGTAGATACAAAACAAAGGGAACCAAAAACTTTGAAATCACAATAAGAGGGCTTAGTATTATATAATTCTTCAAAAGGTGTAAAATGCTTAATGATGGGAGATGGGAGTCGATTAATAATAAAGACAGCATGTAATACAATAAAAGACCAATAAGCAATAGGTATATTTGATTGAAACAAAGTGCTCTAGAAACATTCAAAATGCGCTAATGTTTGTGCTTAACAATATCATTTTGTTGAGGAGTTGCTACACAAGATTTTTTATGAATGATGCCTTTTGAAGCATAAAAATCAGGCATAGAAAACTCAAGTCCATTGTTAGTCCTTAAAATCTTAACAGAAGTAGAAAATTGATTTTCAATCAAAGCTAAAACATTCTTGAGTTTAGTTCTAGTATTTGATTTACTTTGTATTAGAAACAACCAAGTATAACGGGAGTAATCATCTATAATTGTTAAAAAATATCTATGTCCTTGAACAGATGGAATAGAAAAAGGACCCCAGATATCAAAATGTATCAACTCAAAAATTTTATTACTAGAAGTATTGCTTACAGGGAATGAAAGCCTTTTTTGTTTGGCAAAATGACAACATGTAATCAAATGAGGATTACAATTGAAACTAGAAAAATGTTTATTCAAAATTGAAAAGGTAGAACTAGATAGATAACCCAACCATAAATGCCAAAGAGTAAAATTTGAATCATAAGCTGTGGAGATCATGTTGATCTGAGATTTGTGGGTTGATGGTAGCATATCTGCATTTAAAATGTATAGCCCCTCGAAGACTTTAGCTAAACCAATCATCTGTAAAGGTTAGAGTAAGTGTATCTAACAAGAATGGGAATAAAAGGTTAGAAAACAATGTAGAGAAAGAGTAATTTGAGAAACAGAGATAATATTGAATGTGAAATCAGGAAGATGCAAAACGTTAGTCAAGATTAAAGTGGAGGAAAGAATGACTGTCCCTGAGAATGATGCAATCGAGTGAGATCCAATAGGCAGACTAAACAGAAATTGGGAAAATAGACTAATAAGAAGAAAATAATTCAAGGGAACAATAAACATGATCAATTGCACCAGAATCAATGACAATTTTTAGAGGAGGTAGAAAGAATTTTACTTGAAACAAGAGATAAAGCGGAAGCAGAGAAATGATAAATAGAGGAAGTAGAGGATTGAGGAGAGTAAGAAGACATTGGTACTGAGCAGCAAATAATTAGAGAAGAATAGCAACTGTTGAATAATTTGGAGGAAGAGACGCAATAATAGAAATTTCTTAAGCAAATGTAGAACCATGAGTACTTAATTGATGCACCGTGGTGGGAGAACCAGCCTAACAAAACTTGAAGCCAGGAGGAAATCCATGTTTGCAGTAGCAAGTATCTTTAGTTTGTCGAGGTTTACCACAATAGGTACATTGTTTATTGGTAGCTTGCTTAGAACCAGAGGAGGCAGGACAAGAAGCCTTAGCCAACAGAATCTTGGAATCGAGAACTATGTGAAGCTCTTGTTCTTGTTAAAGGACAAGGGAGAAAACACGATTAAGAGAAGGGAGAGGATCAATGAGCATTATTTGTGACTTAACAGATGAGAATTGCTCATTCAAGCCTTTTAAGAATTGAATAACTTGATCCTCTTCACGATGCTTGAGAGCATTTTCTATAGAACCGCAATCCCAGGCCTTGTGTGGATGGATGTTGAATACTTAATCCCATAGAATCTTAAGATGAGTATAATACTCACTTATGCTCATATTGGCCTATTTTAATGAGTAGACTTCTTCCTGTAAATCAGCAACTCAAAAAAGATTGGATTGAGAATAACGTGACTCCAGATGGCTCCAGATTTTGAAGCCCTATCAAACCATAAGATGCTTCTGGCGATAGTCGGTGACAGGGATTTAACAATCCATCCTTGAACAAGATTATTACAACGCTCCCATGTAGGACATTGTGAATTTTTGGCTAGTGATGGAGAGATGGAGCCATCGACAAACTGCAATTTATTCTTTGAAAGTAATGCCATTTTCATTGATTGTACCCAGCCGTGGTAATTTGAACCATCTAGTGGTGGAGCAAGAAGCACCAAAGCCGAATTCTCACTAGGATGTATGTAGTACGGGCTGTTTGGGTCAATGACAGGGGAAGAAGATTTAGAAGGGGGGCCATGGAAAAGTGGGTTTGAAAGAAAGAGGGAAAGAAGGTTGAAGAAGAAAACAGGAAAAAAAAGAAAAGAAAAGTCAAAGACAGGTGGTGAAAAGAAAATCAGGGAGAGAATGATGGAGTGGATCGTGATACCATGTGACTTGGAGTGAGAAAAGGGAAAGTGGGAAGAAATAACTTGACTTTCATTAATGATATATCATGGTATATATACACACTCGTTCAAATATAACTGAATAACAAACTTTACAATTCAACTTAACAGAATGTTAATCTCTATCCTACACTAGTCAATTTTGGAAAGGTATTTTCTCCTCAGTGCATCTGATCGTTTCTAAGCTGAAATGGAAAGTCGGATAAATAGTGCTAATGTTTCTTTAACTCACTCATCTTGGTATTCATCTAATCATTCTCACATTCACATCTAATCTTGGCATTCATCTTGGTATGGGACCTGATCTTGCCCCCAAAAAAAAAAAACTCTTGTTGGTCTGCTTCTATTTGGAATGAATCTCTTATTCGCACCATTTAGTAACCAAAATTTTAACCTTATCCTCAATACCACTCTTTCTTCCACTGCACAAGAGGATGGTCTCTAGGAGCCTCTGCTAATGGAGAATACATTGCTAAGGAAGATTTTAAAAATAATTGTAAACCAAGTCATCATCAGGTCGCTTGGCTCCTTTGCTTTTGATGCAATGTGGGGTTCCTATGGAAATCTTCTGTTTGTTTGGTGGCTTATTCATCAAGCTTCGTTTTGTGGTTGATATATACTCTACGATATATATCATTGTCTCCAGTAATGTCCTTTTGGCCTCCTTGATCTAGAGACTGTTAATCATCTAATCTCTTTGCACAAATATTATGAGATTTTGATGATAGTATCAACAAAAATCCCAAAATGGGTTGTTTGGGTTAAGGTGCTGGCAGAACGTCCATGTTTATTTGTGATTTTATTTTTGTGAATACCAGAAGAGCGTGTTCTTTTAAGAGCAATGACAATGATTCAAGCTCCTGCGGGTAGAATTAAAAAGATTGAATATAATCTTAAATTCACAATTAGTAAATTTTCTCTGTTTTTTTTTTTTTAATTCAGCAATTTGTATGTCATCCATCAACCACATCATAAGGCTGCCTTCTATTTGATAGTAAGAGATTCCATATCATTCTATTCTAGGAATGCATTAGATTCGGTTTTTTTCAAACCAACTTTTTCGACAACCATTTTAGCTAGCTAGCATTAATCTTATTCTTATCCCCATTTTGTGTAAAACAAAAAATTGGGTTAATGCAAACTTTGGTTCTTCAAGTTTATCCTCATTTTGATTTGATCCCTCAAGTTTCAAATCATGAGTTTTTGTCCCTCGAGTTTCTTTTTATTTAAGACATTAGTCCCTATAATCCAACAAAAATTTAGATTATTTTGTCTCTTAAAGAACCAAAACCTATGGTTTGAAATTTAATAGATTAAAACCAAAATGAGAACAAATTTGAAGGACTAGAGATTATATTAACCCAAAATAATTTGTTCAAATTGAAAGCATATATTTTGAGAATATATAACCATAAATATATATATATATATCACAAGCATGGGAGATTCAACAATTTAGGTCGGTTGGTACATAACAAACGAGATTAAATTTCTTTTAAATGTTATTTATCATCAGATAAGTGTTCAAAATAAGCTATTCCTATAGAAAATATGCACTACAATCTCTTTAATCTCTCAGATATCATTGCAGCAACGTTGACGGATTCCTCGACCTGAAAAATAATGCAGAAAAACTCATGAGCAATATAGGATAAGACTAATTAACTACAAGGCATTAAAAATTCGATTGGTTATTCAACTGATTGAAACAATGATTCAAGGTTCGGTGATCTAATTGTAGTTGAATTAGAGTCAACCCAATCATAATTAAAATAATATAATTTAATTCAAATATTTATATACAAACGTGAAAAGAGTAATACTTCAGTAAGAAAAGATATTAAAAAAGTAAACTGAACATTCATATTTAAATGACACATAATTTACTAAAGCAAAACTTTGACAAACTACTACTTTTTTTAATTTTCTTAAAAATTCAAAACAATGTTTTTTCAGGCATGACAATTGGGGGGGGCATCTAACCCAGTCAATCCATCTAAAACTCCTAATCAAATTGATCAAGAAACTGGTTCACCAATTGACTGGTTTGATTAGCTAATATGAGTTGGATTCTAATACTATGATTAACTGTAATAGCCAAAAAGTGTGAATTATCTGTGACTGTCCAACCAGGCAACAAGAAGAGAAATATAAAGAGTGGTAGGTTCCACCTAGCTATTATGTGAGAATCATAATCATATCTATCTCTCCAGTTGTACAGTTACACATCCAACTAGAAGGAGTATATATTGCTCCAAAACACATAAAATATAAGCCAAAATTTTAATTGAAATTTAATTTTGCTTACCTCACAGTGTATCGTATGAATAACTACATCTTCAACAACTGTGTAATTGGCAGTAACAATATCTGCTCCTTCTTCATGAAGAAGTCGAATGATGTCAGTTAACGAAAACTCACTGTCCGATTCAGTTCTCAGAACAACTTGTAAGGCAATAGTGCCCACTTCTAGGATCTCAAACCGTGGCGATGATTTTGATCCCTTAATCATTTCTCTATGTTGGATGAAGTTCGACCTTTGATTATTAATGGCAATTAGGCTGTCCTTCTTCTCCTTCATTTTCTCCAACTTCATCTGTAACTTCTTTATGTAACTGGTGGCTTCCTCTAACTGATCAGGTAATGGAATAGCCTCCTGCATCAGTTTCAAATCATAGTTCAATCAAAGAGTTAAATCTAATAACCCTTTACAGTAGAGAAACATATTTGATCCAATGATTTTTAGGAGAGAACCTCAATCCAACCGTGTCAATTTTTTTAAATAACCCTTTGGGCCACCCAGTCCTATTTTGAATCCTATCACCAGGTATCTGAGCAACTGAATTATCAAGATTGAGGCTTTGGGATCAGGATGCCCCTGCTCGGGGCCGAACCATTTCATTTTTATTCACATATATGTATGTACACGACATAGTCGTTAGATCAATCTATTCTCACAACTATTGGATCAAGCCTACTATAGTCTATCAAGAGAAAACAACATGGATTTTTTCTCTCTCTTTTTTAACATTAAGTCGGTTTGAACAGTAAAACGCTCTGCTCACATCTCTGGTGGCTAAATAATGCGCGTTTCTACATCTACAAAGGAAATGTGATATGTTTCCATGCATGATACAGATTTCATAAATAGCTAAAAGAAGGAGGAATGATAAATTTAAGGCAAGTTAAGAGATAAAATTAACCCTTGGACTTTGATGAGGCACAAGAGAGTTGAGCTTTGAGTAGAGAGCCTTCATTTGATATCTCCGATTCCTCTCGATTAATTTTCTGTCAGTAGTTCTGGATGAAGAACTAGGGTTTTCCCCCATGAAGATCGATCGATCAGTAATGCAGTAGCCCATCATCAATCTGAAAGGCATATATATAAAATATTCATTCCTCAGAAAAGGAAGTATGCTTCCCTCTATGATAGATAGATAGATATCTCTTTTCAGTGAATATTTGAGTTGTCTCTGGCTTTAAGAAAAGCGAAATAGATAACAATCATTAGATGCTACTGATAAAGTTTCTGATAAGAGGCTGGTGGGGCATTATTATTTTAACATTGTCTTTGACTGTTTCTGATTCCACAAGACAAGACATAGCATATCTTCAATACATACGTACTTAACCGTTTTGGGTTGTGCTGGTTCGTTCTTTAAAGAATGAGATAATGGGTTACTAATTCAAGTTCAAATTGTGGGAGTTAAATGCTCCCTCCAAGCCCCTAATATAGAAACTTACTTTATACTACCGTCGATTTTAATTATAAGACCTCATTTGTAAATTAGAAGACTTACATACAACAATATATCATCTACTACCTCAAGTCCTAGTTATAATTAGGACTGAAGGTAGCATATGATATATTGTTATACATAAGTCTTCGAAAGAAATCATGTCACTTTTGTCATAACTAATTTAATTAATTTTTTTAATCTGTTCAAATTACTTAAGTAGCTCTTACATTAGGAATGGATGGAGCAACTAATTTACATAAATTAAGAAATTAATTAAATTAGATATTTGTAAAAATATGTGTGACTTTTCAAGAATTTTCTTTCGAATCATTTACGTTGGAAATTACTCTCAATGACATGAGCTTTCTTTATATGTATAATCAATAGATATGATTCGAAAAAAAATTATAAATTTGTGAAACAGAGTATATTAAAGTCATAGATGCATTTAAGACCAAAATAAATCTTTTAATTAACTCCTGTATTTAGGATAAGAGAGGGTGTATGATTAACTATGAAAATCTTCAAATTAAATTTCATAACACATTAACATTAACAAATACTCCTCTGATCCTATTTATAAGTACTTCGAACATGTTTGACACGTACTAGAAAAAAGAACCTTAACTTTATTGACTTTGTACTGAAATTCAATTACTTTTCAACGTTATTCTTATTTAATATATATTGCTACTATGTTTCTATTTACAAGTCACTTATAGGGGAAAAGTTTGTTCTTAAACATAAGTCACTTATAAGGTAATTAATAAACTTTTTTCAATTTTACTCCCATTGACTTAATAAATGCAGAAAAAGATAAAGTAATTAAATAAGCAAGAGAAAATATAAAATATATTTTTAATAAGGGTAAATATGAAAAAAATTATAAATTTAAAGTATTTCTTGGTTTGTGCTTTTAAGATTGTACATTCATGTGAAAAATTTCTCTTTCAACTTTATAAATAGGATAAAAATTTCTTTCTCTTTTTTTCCTATAAATTGGACCAAGAAGAGCGCACATTCGAAAACGCATGGCAGAATAATAAGCTGCATGAAACATGGAGGCAGGATTTTTCGATGCTTGCTAATGATCAAATTAGTAAAAACCTCACTCAATACTCAGAAAATGGGAGAGAGATAGCAATATCTAAATTTTATGTTTAGCATCTGGAAGGAATTGTACTGAAATTATTTTTAAAAAAATCACCAGTAAGCAAGGCATAATTGGGTTATGCTTAGTTCATAATTACTGTAGTCATAATTAATTAAGATAAAATTATTCAGTTATATAAAAAGATAAAATTATTTCAATTTATTTATGAAAGTGACGTGAGATATATTTTTTCCGGGGAGGGGGGGGGGGGAAGAAAAGAAAAACAGCATCCTTATTGAATCTCTTAAAGGGACAAACTCCTTTCCCATCTGGACCAAATAAATGTTTCGCTCTAAAACTCATAATTACTTTGGCATTTAGTGACGTATTTGTTTTCAATGGGTGTCACATGCTACAATAAATTAATATTTTTCTAAAGAACGACTAACACAATTTATACACACACATATCCGATCATTCATTCTTTACTATCTATAATTTTTTTAAGAAGGACTAACCTATTATACTGTGGGTTCAACGGTCAAAGGATTGGATACTCTTACCAAAGGAATGGTGTTTGATTCCTGAGATCATCGCAGCTCTTGGGAGGCATACATATTCATCCAGCTAAAGCATGTAATTTTGAAGCTAATTCCCACTTATTTAATGCTCTCTAAGTCTTGACTCATGTCTTAACTATGGTGGTCCCCAGTGATCCAATTCACCTAAACATTTTTGTATAAGAAAATAATCGATCTGAATTTCTTGTCAGTTAAACTCTAGCTGCAACGGCAAGATCATACATTATAAACAATGATTAACATTTATTATTTAATTGATCATAATTAAAAGTTACGACAGACTCAAGAACACAAATCAACTTTCCACAGTTGACGGTATGAGTAATTAATAAGTTTTAATTATAAAGATTTCGACACTCGAGTTCTTTTTGGAGCAAAGCTCATTTTCTTCAACATCACTACAATAAATGTTTAATTTCCTAATTCTCTTTGCAATTTGTTTAATTATGAGAAACAAATGGTTCCTTTTAACTGCACTCTAAATGCAATATTAATGAAAAATAGTTGCTTGAGGTAAATAAGACATGAATGTTAAACAAATATGTGACCAAGTTACATTTACAACTTTATTGGCATATAGCAAGTATTAATGTACCAATGTATTATTCTATACAGAATATGTCAAATATGCTTTTAAATAATGGCATCCACTCATATTTTTTAAAAATTCTTACCAGGTTAACAAATGATAGACCATGACACCCTCTATTTTAATCCTATGCAATATTAATGTTCCTTTAATTTGCATCGTTCATTTTTATAAGAATAATAAAAATTTTCAAATTATTTTTGCTTGAATTAATGAAGGAGAGATACCGGGATGAGATTTATTGTTTTGAGTTCTACAGGAATGGCTTTCATTTATTCTTTTTCTTCTGTAATCACTTCAATTTATATTATATTAAAGCATCTAAATTTCATGCTTTGACGTATGTGCTTCTTCTAAAAAGGATCCCACACACAGCAAATACAAAGGTCTGCTCCGTCGTTTTCATCCCCATATATTGTAATAATATTTTATTATGAAATCTTAACTCTCTATCTCTCTCTCTCTCTGTGTATATATAACTTGTGAAGATTGCTAAAGAAAAATAATAAAACAATTATACTGTGTTGTGACTTTGTTAAAAATAGATTGTACATTGAATGCAGTGTGAGAACCACATTCTATCAAGAACTTTTCTTAAAGTTATACACCCATACAATGTCTAGAGACAATTAATTAATTTACTTAAAACATTAGGTTTAAATGTTTCTGTGTATGGTTCTGGTTGTAGAAAACGTCAAGAGCACAAAATGATGAAAGTAAAAAAGATTATTCTTTATAAAGTGGCTTTGGAGCTTTGTTTCTCCACCACATGTATGGGGAAAGAAGTTGAACAAACTTGAGAAAGAAAATCAAACACGTATGCCATTTATAAAATTATAATATAATATAGAGTTTAAATTAACATCTCAGTATGAATATTAAAAAAAAAAAAAAAAGGTTATGGCGACGAACACTATTTAGTGTGCCAATTCGAATTTCATGTAAATGCACCGAACTTACTTCAATTTGGGCAAATATTAAGGCCTACCTAACTGAGAAGAATATCATATTCTTTGCAATAGTGCTTATAATGAGCTAGTGAGCTTACCTAGAGGTCTGGATATGTTGTAGAAGGAAGATTTAGATAGATCTAACAATTTGATTGCTCTTATAAATGCTCATTGCTTCGGTGCTAGAAAAATATTTTTATAATATTGTGCTTCATTGAACTATAGTGATTAATGCAAAGTATTACTTGTTAATTACCATTTTGGTCCTTATTATTTGTCATTTGTAGAAAAGAATTTTGGTTCTTTTCATCTGTCACTTATACCCTTTTTGATGTTTTATCTCCGATACTACCCTATTAATTACTCCTCTAATCCTATTTACAAGTTACTTTCAATATGTTTCATGAAAATCAAGGAAAACCTTAAACATCATTAAAATTTAAAATTCAATAACTTTTTTAACTTTATTCTATTATATATATATATATCTCATGTAAACAAAGTCAACACAATAATAAATGAAGGGTAAAATTGTACATTCATATAAAAATTTCTCTCAATATCCTATAAATAAGACAAAAAAATATATTTTCTCTCTGCCATATAAATAGAACTAAGGAGTATAGCAAAGGTGAAGAAAGAGGGAATGAGTGAGAGAAAATATAATACTCCTTTGGTCCTATATTAATAGGACAGAGAGAAAGGACATTTTTTTGGTCTTATTTATAGAACACTAAGAGAAATTTTTTATATTGATATACAATTTTACCTGTCATTTATTATTATGTTGACTTTGTTTACATAAAATATAATTTATATTGAATAAGGATAAAGTTGAGAAATTTTTAAATTTTAAATGAGAATTAATGAAATTTAGGGTCTATTTGGTATAAGGGAAAATGGAAGGAGGGGAGAGGAGGAAAAAATTTAATGAGCTCAATTTAAAAAATTAAAAAAGTGGGATTAAAAATTTTTGATTAATTTTTATTACTCTTTTATATTACTTCTTCTCTTTATTAAAATTTCAAAAACCCACTTCTCCAATTTTTTACATAGAGCTCATTAAAATTTTCCTCCCCCTCCCTTCCCCTCCATTTCCCTCGTACCAAACAATACCTTAAGGTTTTTTTTAGTCTGTATAAAACATACTAAAAGTGATTTATAAATAAAACCAAAAGAATAGTATTTAATGCTCTGCTTAGTAAGGATAAAAGTGAAAGATTTTATCTATTTAATACTCTTATTGATATGTGAAAAACTACTACAAGTAATAAATAATAAGTACCAAAGCAGTACTTAGCAAACATGTCATTAAACCTTTCATTAATGAAGAAACTAAGGAAGCTGCCTTTGAATTTAGAGGTATGAAAGCGCTTGAACTTGATAGGCATTAATTATTAGCTTTGCCTTTTCA